AAATTTTATGATTTTTTTTATATATTTCATTAATAATCAGTTTAATTTTATAATTATTTCATCAGTGTATTTAAATATATAAAATATATATTACACATATAGTATAATTACACATATGATACATACATTATATATAATTCGTTTATATTTATATTGTTTTCAGGAGCAGTACGTGGTCGAGGGCGTGGTGGACGTGGTACAAGAGGAGGTCGAGGGGGACGAGGGAGAGGAAGGGGTAGACGATAATTATATATATTATTATGATGTATTTAATTGAAATGATTAATTCAATTTTTTTCACTTTAAAAAAACATTTACATAACGTATTATATAGTATGAAAATAATTCAATAAATTGTAATACTTTTCTGACATCAAAACTTTCAATTATTACATTGTTATAGATGTTGAATTGAATATTTAGAAATATTTCTTTTAGTAGTTATTTCAATATTTACCACTAATATGTTTTGTGCATACTTTTAATACAGTTAAAGGTATTAAACATATATAAATTCGTAAATTATATTTGTCAGTTTATAAATTAGTTTAATCTTAAAGAGAAAGTAAAATATTAAAACATTGTCATATATAGTATTTGAGAATTATTTTTATCATTTTCAAAATTGTATCTAAATATATCTGTTACTTATCTCTTTTTTTTATTTTTAAAAATTCTTATAAAAGCTACTATCTTTCAAATCTAATTCAAAAATAATCTTTTTTAAAATTAACTGACTTTATTTTCAAATGATAATAACAAGAACAAACCTGATAAAGTGTCAAGGTATAACATGGTACAAATGATTCTAATTGTACATAAAAATTAGAAAATCTTTTCCCGCACCTATCCAGTTTTCAAATCTTTCCATTGTAGCATCTCATTTGTAGAGTAGAAGATGTACTAATAGAAATAAAAGCATACAATAAAATATGAACATATGTATTTATGCGTAATAGAATTATACACGTATATGATTAACTTTCAGGATTTAAATCACAGACAAGAAAATACATATACTTCGTCTGTGCTTAAATATTAAGTATATTAACAGATTTTTTAAATTCTAAAATTTTAGGAGAAATTCTTAAGGAAGTACGAAAACATTCACACACTTGATGGAAAATTCCTGATACTTTAAATTATTATAATTACGTGAAAATAATTTTAGAACCATTAATTTGATTTAATACTAATAATCTAATAAATTCAATAAATTGAAGAAAAAAAAGTCACACATCAGGTTTTAAGGGCTCGTTGTAAAGATGAGACTCTAATTTGCAAGATTATGGTGAATATATGAAAAAAAATTTTCAGCAATTTTGGACAAATTTAAATTTTTATAATTTTCAAAAAGAAAAATATCATCAGTTTTTCACTCATTGTAAATCATCATGTAAAATCATCATTGGAAAAACGGACTTACAATTAGGATTATTAAAATAAATGTTACATATTTTAAAATGAGACCAAGTGAATATTTCTTTATATTTCTTTTCATGAATTTATAACAATTTAAAAAACGACAATTTTTCATCGAGTATGCAATCAGTTCCATCGCAAATGTGTAATCTTTTATTAAATATTAAAATGCCAAATAGACTTTTTAAAAAAATAAATTAGACTTCGAAATTTCGAAACAAACGAATTTTGCAAGAAATAATTTACAACATATAATGTGTTTTTTTATTGTAAACAATATTTGTAGAAATATTTTATTGATAAGTTTAAACTTTCATATCAAGTTTATCAAGTTTACGGGATAAAGATAATTTATTCAAGTTGTGAATTTACAAATTTGTAAATTAAAAAACGTCGTATCTAATTATTCATAAAAATATCACATCATTTCAATCAATTTTTTCTAATACTTTTAAATAGATGTTAATAGTCAAATTTGTACTAAATTTTTCATTCCAATTTTTATCAATCTCTGCTTTAAATTGCTATATTTTTTCATTGATGAAGTATCACTACGTTCATTTCAATAAATAATTCTCGAAACAAACTGACAACACTGTCCATATTGTTTTATTTTTGCGGTGAAAAACTTACCTGATTGGTAGGACAGGATGACACAAAAATGGTAATGTGCCTCAGAATTCCGCAAAATCGTGTCCGAAAAAATACATAGTCATGTAATGTCTATTCATATACCTCGTCTGTGCTGTAACAAATAAACTTGAATTTTTTAAATAAAACATTTATTGTTTTCTGAATTCTGTGTTGAAATTTCTGAACAATACAAATATTGCACATATTTTTTATTTTATGTATAAAAAAATTTGAACTTAGTTATAATTTACATATCGATACTAATAAATGGACATATTGATACTAATAAATGGACAAATTCACGAGATACTGTGAGAGTAACAGTCAATTTAAGTTGTCAACCCTTCATATTATAGTTTTTGACAGTTTGCAATTGTGTGATTGAAACTGCAATATATGAACTGTGCAAGTAACAATAATTGTTACAGTAATATTTTGTGTAGTGTTTGTATTTAGTTTATTTTAAGTAATTAGTATAAGATTTAATGAATTTGAAAAATTATTTAATGAATTAGTACAAGATTTAATAACGCGTATCATTTGTATATTGGTATTTGTATTATCGTGAACATTTTTTCGTTTACCTCACCTAACCAAATTTCCACATGTTTTTTTGTTTACTAACTGCTAAGTAGTAAAAATTAAAAATTCTAATAATTACATCCGATGCACTTTGGAAGTAAATTAAGATGAGTAAAAAACGTAACCGAGAACCAGATGTAAATGGAGAATTAAGTGAAGGTTCAACAGATTCTTGTAACGAATCCAATACTACAGGTTAGAATTCACTTGTTTAAAAATTTTTAGTTTCAGTATTCTTATTTTTCTTTCCATTAAAGAAATATATATTTTTTATTATATTTATTATTTTTTAATTATAATAGCTTGTTTTATTTGTAGAATAATAATAGAAAAATAATGTAAAAAGTTAATTAGTAAATTACACTACAACGAAATCATGTAGTGATCAAACATTGAAAAATTTATAATCGAATTCATACTAATGAATATAAGTTATTCATAAAAATTGATGATATATTTGTATTAAAAATTATATTTGTAATAATTATTTTATGTATTTAATGTTCGATAAATTGTGATGATGGGTTAGTGCATAAATCTTGTATGCTTTGTTCTTAGAAATTTTTTTTCAATATCATGAAAAATATAACATCAATAGCACAGTAGATTAAACAACTCTTTATGTATCTCTTTTAACTAATTTATTAGGATTTTTTAATTATATTATTGACTTTTTAATACTTGGTATGATAAAAATGAAAAATCTCTGACATTTGATTGATATAAAATAAAATAAAATATAAATAACAACTAGATAAAAGTTAAATAAAAGAATCTGTTCATACATATTATATTCATACATAAATAAATCTAGCTGGTGAAAAGTTTATATTTATTTATTATAATTAATGATCTGTATATTTAGTTTTTAGTACCTTTCTCATGAAATTTTTTAATTTTATGAAAATAATGATACTCATATATTAAGAAATATCTGATAAATTTAATTGTATTTATTTCTTAATATAATTATATCTTTTCTTTAACAAAACTTTCACTATAATATATTTGTGTGGTTTTTATAGCTCTAAAGAGTAATTTTAATAACTTGTAAAAGATTTTTTTTTTATGATGTGATGTTTATATACACAAATGAGACTATCATAAAAAATAATAATTAACAATTAATACTTTTTAAAAGTAAAATTTATATAGAAATTTACTATATAAATTATGGCAGACAAAATTTAGGCAGAAACCTATTAGCAAACTCAATAATGATATAATAAATTAAATTTTTATTTATAATATATTTAAAGAAATAAAAATTGCAATGTTAATATTTATAGGTAATAAATGTCCACATATTCCAAAGGCAGTGAATTTTAATAAAATTAAGAAATGTATTAATAAAGTGGGAATTAGCATAGAATGTTCAATATGTAAAAAGTGTAAAAATTCATCAAAAATTGATGATGAGGTATAAATTTAAAAACATTTTTTGTATTCTTTTTTATTATTATATACATTCTTAATTCATTAATAATATATTTCTAAAGTGAAAATATTTAAAATTTAGGAATGTGTAACAAATTCAGCGATATTGATTTGCTTACAATGTGGGCATCAAGGTTGTGGAAGAGAAGAATGTGGTCATGCTTTGGAACATTATAAGAAGCCACATAGTGATTGCCATGTCATGGTTGTTGAAAGTCTTTATTGGAGTGTTTGGTGTTTTCAATGTGAAAGAAAGATTAATGTTGGATATAAGTATGTGTGAAAGCAAATTTATATACATTTATATATATTTATATATATATATAAAGTAAATTTATATATATATAAATATATAACTTTATATATATATAAATAAAAGCTAAAAATATTCAAAAAATGCAATATAAACATTAAAATATACTAGATAATGAAATAAATTAATAAAATATTTATTTTACTTTAAATTTTAAAGTTTTTTTAAAATTTTGATTATAATATCAAAGATGTTGATAAATAAAAAGTACAAATATTTGTTATAATTAAAAAATTAAGTAGTTATAAGATATTTTCATCAATTATAAACTAAATAATAATTTCCAATTTTTAGAAAAAAGCTGCAAGAAACAGTGGAGTTCATAAAAAGATCTACTACAATAACAAATTCGTTACAAATTAAGACTTCAACAACTCAACATCAAAAAGAAACCACAGATATAGATAAAGAAAAAAAATTGCATAATTTGCCGAAAGTAGGGGTATGTATTTTAATAATTTTGGTTATTATTTTAATAAATTTGGATCAAATAAATGAATCAAAGAGGCATTGAAATGCACAAAGAAATTATAAATTATTATATATATATAATATGTACATAGGGTATTCAGGAATTATCTTTTAAATCCATGGCTTCCAACCTGTAGTATGCGTACCCTTGGGGATACGCGGCAGACCGGTTGGGAGTACGTGAAAATAATATTGGTAATGATAGAAAACACCAAAAAAAAAGAGTTAAAATAAAAATACAAAAGCAAAGTATAGAGCACATTTTTCAATTATTTTTGCATATAACATAGCGTCCATTATTATTTACTCTAATCCAGTATGAAATTAACTATGCTTGAGAAATTTTCAAACTCTATTTTTTCGAAAACGTCTTGAAACGAAAAAAAAAGTTTGTTCTTTCTTTTCGATTCATTTTTATATGTAGAATCATTTCTTACTCGGTTGTTTATGAATTGCGGAATATCCTGTATAATAATAATGATAAGTGTAATCATTGTTATAATACAAATTTGTTTTTATTTTAGGGTTTACTGAATTTGGGGAACACCTGCTTTTTAAATGCAGTTCTGCAATGTTTAGCACAAACTCCTTTCTTAGTCAAAGTTCTTGATGATTTACGTCTTCCTGGACAAAAATTCATTTTACCAGGAGGCAAGCATAAATTTGCTAATTCAGAGGAAGTAGATCTAGTAAGTTATTTTTAACATATGTTATTAATAATGTTGCTAAATATGTGACGAAACGTACCATTGAAAATTAAATGAAATATAATAAGTATTTCTACAGTGAATTCTTGAGAAATATAATTATTCTAAATAAATTAAGCACAGAACAAGTTAAATTATACTTTTTTAATGTATTAAAATAAATCTTTCAAATAATATTTGTAGAAATAATATATATTGTTTGCATATATTGTTTCATGTTAAAATTGTCATGTCAAGAAGTAGCAAAATATTTTTTATTTTATAGTTTTTTTTATAATTATTATTTTATTACTATTATTTTTCTATATTTATAATTATAATTATTAGTCTATGTTTATTTTATATTATCTTGACCACTTCAAATCTTTCTATTGTCTTTGGAGATATGAAAAAATTTTATTAACAAAAGTTATTCAATACAGAGGTCATAATATAGCAATAATAATTTTTTCATAAGTAGAGAGATTTCGGAGATTTCAAAATCACTCCTACTTTTTAAAATAAAATGATATATTTTTTGAGCCATTATTCCACACAGCTTCATATTTTCTATAAAAAAAATATTAACTTATGTATGTCGAAAAATTATTAGTTTAAGAGATAGTTGAACTAATTTTATAAAGTCTAAAAGCATTATTTATGTTACAAGATATGCATTATATATTTGCAACATATATTTTTTTAATAATGTATAATTGTAATAATATTATATCATAAATAACTTGTTGTTATATAAATTATTTAAATATTACTAACAAATTTTTTAGCCTCCAATAGAGGGTGTTTTAGAAGGCTGGGGAAGTTTTACCTCAATTTTATACAAAACACTTACAGAAATGCAAAATACTGATGGACGCCAATCTTATCGACCATCAGAGTTATTAAACTCATTTAAAAAGAAAACGATGCAATGTATGGATGGAGGACAACATGATTCACATGAACTTCTTAGACATCTACTAGAAATAGTACGAAATGAAGACCTCAGAGTGAGTATATATTTATTTTATTTCATTCTAATAATATTTTTAGTAGTGATTTATGTTAAAAAATGAAAAAGATAAAAACAAATTAAAGACCTATTAAAAAATATTTTATTAAGAAATAATGTGAATTTTTTATTATATTTTTATTATTATTATTTATTCTTAAATGCTTGTATTATTAATTTTTATATCATGTAAAAAATTATGTAAAATTATTTTGATTTAAAAAATTGAAAATTATTTTTGGTTTCTGAAAAATATTGTAGAAAATTGATTTTATTGTATTGATTACAATAACGCCGTTTTATAAATTAATTTATTCACAATTAATCTTTACATTTATGACATAACACCACAGATAACAATATCATTTTATTGTTTGTAACAATATTATCATATTATCAATAATTACGTATCATTAACTATATTTTATGAAATTTATTTTTTGTTTTATTAATTTATTTATTATTTTATTTATTATTTTAGTTTTATTATTTATTTATTATTTATTTATTATTTTAGTTTTATCAAAAACTAAAATATGCATTAATGCGAAAATATAATTTTTTTTAGAGGTATCAGAGTATAATTCTGAAAGAAGTTGGCTTGAATGAAAAAACTAACCCAGAGGCTGTAGAAGAAAGTCTCAAATCTCGTGTAAAATTCTATGGAAATCAGGCTAGTTTAAGATTACTTGGACCAGAACTTGTTTTTCGTGGAGTTTTGGTTTCAACGTTAGAATGTCTGGATTGTCATCATTCTTCACAAAGTACAGAACCCTTTTTAGATCTCAGTTTGCCGGTTATGGCCGATAAACCGCAGCCACCAGTTTTAAAGTAAGAATAATTCTTTGAAATATATGAGAAAAATAAAAAAACGTGAATATCTCGTTTGATCTTGTTGCTTAAAATATTATAAAGATATTGTATATATTTTAAAAATTAATATTTAAAAGTTATCATAACAATTTTTAACTTACAATGTTTAACTTTATGGTATATTTTTATCATTAATCTAAATATATTGTTATCTGCATGTTTTGCTAATAAACGAAATAATAATTCTATCTGAATAACTTTATTACGCATGTATTTATTTAAGAAGAAAGAACAATGGCTCTGAAGATACGTTTGATATAGTCGGAAATAATATTTCACATGTACCTTCAAAACATCAATTGAAAAAAGAAAAAAAAGCTGCCCGAAAAAACCGAAAAAGTAAAAAACAAGACATTCGTAATCAGAATGATACTTTTATATGTGACAAAAGTAATACTGTCGAAGAAAATAATGGCGTACTTGAGTCAGGTAAAAATCTTGTATTTTTTGAGCTATTTATATTAATTTTTGAAAAACGACATTTAGCTTAACTAATTTTGCATTCAGATAAATAACTGAATTGAAGAAAATATTTGCATAAAAAGTTGTTTTTTTATTTTATATCATAGCAATTTGAGCATAGCAACAATTTTTTGTAGAAGAGAGTGATGCGGATGTGGAAGATAATGCAGAAATTGAAGGTCTTCTTCCAGAAATTGGTGAATCAGGTTATAGTTCAGAAAAACAATCTACGTTAGCAAGCCCAGCTTCTCCATCAATTGATACAATGAAAACAACGGAAGCTACTAACGAAGTACCATTAGATAATTATTTACAATTTAGTACAACAAATAATATTTCCTTAGTACAGCTTCTAAATCGTTTTGATACAAATTCATTGCCCAGGTATTATTAATTATAAGTAAATTAAATTGCTGTATTTATTAAAAAAGACGTTTAATTTAATAATATATTTGCTTCACAGTCCGAGTTTAAATGTATGTACACCGAATTCGTCACAAACAAAAGCTTTAGATGCTCCAGATAGTTCTGAAAGCTTGGAAAATGAAAGTGGAATCCAAACCAGATATTCTATATCTACTTCTTTAGCAATAAGTTCAGATTTAACGAGTCCAGAAATTCCAACTATTAATTTTAAGCCGATTATGTTAAAAGAAAATACAGATTCTATGACTACTTTAAATATAGCAAATGGTGAAAGTATGGAAGATACTAAAGAAAATACTAGTCTAGATTTAACAGAGTCTGTTAATCGTCACATTGAACAAGAAGATTCTACGTGCAATCAATGGTATTGTAGAAATTTATTTTACTCTTTAAACTTTAAATTTTTATATTTTATCTTTATATTAAATACATATTATACATTAAGTAAAAGTTAGTACATTATGTAAACATTTTACAAATTACATGAAGTGTTCTTTTAGATGTTAATTTTTTATTATTTGTTTTTTTTTATTTGTTATTACAATTGAATATTTCATTACTATACATATAACTAAAATATTAATACGTTGATGTATAAATTTAAATGATTTAAGATGATTTGCATTCATTTTCATAATAGGAAAAAGGAAAGGAGAAAAACAGAGGAACATTCAAATGATATTAATGGTGGAATTGATAACATCACTTCTGGAATTTCAAAAATAGGCATTAGTGGTAGTCTTCAACAATCGCCTACTAGATATTCAACCAAGGAAGGAGAATGTTCAATACAATCTTGTTTAAATCAATTTACAGCTTTAGAATTGATGAGTGGTAGCAATAAAGTTAGATGTGAAGCTTGTACTGCCAAAGAAAAAAAGGTATATTTTATATCAGTTCAAAAATACAAAATATTTGTTTACTAAAAAGAAATTTACATTTGATAATTAAGATTTTTATAAAAAAAGAAATTTTTTTATTATAATTTAAATAATGATATCTCGCATATCAGTTTTTTCAAAATTTCATAACTTTTTATATTCTAATTGATTAATTTAAATTTCTAATATTGTGCATTAAATATATAAAATGGTATATAAAAATTTTTTTAGTTTTCAATATAATAGTAAAATGAAATATCTTTTTCGTGATGTTAGGTGAAACCAAATTGCAAGATGGTATGCACCCCAAGTACGAAACAATATCTGATTTCTCGTGTACCCGCGGTTCTAATCTTTCATTTGAAACGATTTCAAGCACAACGAGTCGATTTCCGAAAAGTAACAAGACATGTTTCATTTCCAATATTGCTTGATCTAGCACCTATCTGTAAAAATCATAAAAAAGCTAGAGTTTATGCACTTTATGGTGTTGTTGAACATAGTGGAACGATTCATGGTGGACATTACGTTGCTTACGTAAAGGTATTTATCTAAATATTAAGAATTTACTATAAATTATTATAAATCAATTTAATAAAGTGATATAGATACTATTACACTTCGTGACAAAATAATAGAACATCCCTAGATTCGTCATGTTTCTAAAAATCAATGTGTTTGTGTGAAAAATAAGTGTAATAATATGATACTATGTAATACCTTATATAATACCTTCAATATATTCATATAAGAAGAAAGAAAAGAATGATAATATCAGATTATCTAAATGAAAGAAAGAGTTTTATAGTTTTGGGAAGTAATTGGATATAAAGAAAATATACATATGAATAGAAAAAATATAGATTACATAAACTCATAAACGAGGAAATAATAAGACATACAAAGTAAAGAGTACAATTATAAGAATAAGAAAATAATGTCTAATATGCCATTTTTAAAAAAGTGAGAAATTATTTTAATATTCATAGTATTAAAGTATGAGAACAATTAAATCATTATATATATGTATACATTGTACTGGAAAACAATTTAATTTCTTGGAAAAATTAAAAATCGTTATTTCATTTTTAGAAACTTTGTAAAAAATTTGTACAAAAGTCGAAAGGACTTGTAGAAATTGAAGAAGGATAAAATGTACACATTGTTTCTAAATTAAATTATCCTTTGTTTTCCTTATTATGTCACTCATTTTTCATATAAATAAAAATAGTTCAAATAGTTATTTTTTTAATGAAGAGATACTCTTCATAGACCTATACTATACAAAATTTTTGTACTTATACATCATTATTTTTGAGAAACATGAAAAATTTAGGAAAATTCTAATATTTTATTGTAGAGTGTATAAACATTATCAAATTATGATAGTATTTATAGTATAGTATAATGAAGAAAATAATTTAGAGCAAAAAGTTTACAGGGAGTCATACAATAATGCTTGCCACCGTTACGTGTTACTTTTTCTTGGTCAACCACACACGCGCGCGCGCGCGCACGCACACACCGTATTTTTTTTATTATTCTCTATAGTTCTTTTTTATTTTGTAATTAATTATTAGTTATTGAAGAGAATATTTAACGTAAAATATAAAAAAATGCAATTTTTAGTAAATTTTGAATTTTTTTTAGTCACGGTTACCACTAACATCAGATGATTCTCGATGGTCGTTCCTGCCAGCAAATGATGTTAAAGATACGCATGAAAGTTCATATTCTTCAAGTTCTGAGTCTGAGACTGAAGAAGCAGCTGCAGCTCCTTTATCAACAATAGAACCACCTCCTGGTAAATGGTATCATGTTTCGGATTCTAGGTAAATTTTATTTATATATATATTATATGATTAATTAATAGATCAAGCTATAGTATGTGGAAGATCATGTGAAATATAGATAATAGATTATGGATACGTTTATATACATTTACAGGAAATTTGAGGAGGGAAAAATAAATATTCACAATATGTGATGATTTTATATTATGTAGCGGGTGGGAAATTTTTTCTTGAAACTTGTAAAAATGTACTTAATATATAAAATTGAAATTTTATTTAACGTAAATATCTCTTAAGAAAGAGAATTGTTTGCATATTTATAAAATTTCAAATTTTTTCAGAATTTTACTATTAAAGAAATTAATATCTTTGAAGATTCATATATAAATTGCTTTTTATAATATAGTTTTATTGAATGTGTTTGTAAAATGAAATAAATTTATTGCTATTGGAATGCTGCTGCTAATTATTGTTATATACAGTTAACTTAAAAGAGTTAGCATTTAGTTTTATATGGATACAGGTGAATCGAATTTGTAATTTGATTTTATGTTTCAGAGTAACGGAAGTCGATGAAACAACTGTGTTACAAAGACAAGCCTACCTCCTATTTTATGAAAGAATTCTTTGAGCATTTTGATCTTCTTCAGTCCTTGTTTGAAACATCGACGAAATTTGGATTTTGCATCAATGAAACAAATCGGGTGAAAAATAATAGAATTTTAAAATACTATAAACTACGATTATTTATATTAATTATGAGCAAGACTATAGTTTATTTCTGGAGTTTGCGATTTCAATATAAAATATCAAATTTGTAATTTGATGAATGTGTAGATTATTAACTATCCCAAGTGGAAATTTTTATTAAAATCATTTCTTATTTTAATTAATTATATTTTAAGAAAGTATGCATCATATTTTTTAAAAACTAAAGAATCTATTATACTCACTAGAACATTATTATAAAATGTTTATTTTGTGCTCTTCCATTTGATATAATAGATAATTGTTATTTCTACTTTGATACTGCAGTCTTTTAACAAAATCTTATAATATTAAATTATTTAAAAAATTTTAGAATGTTAAAATTCTAAATATTAAAACAGTTTGGGCAAAAATGAAATTTATGCTTAAAATAAATAATAGTTCGGAAGTAACGTTTGAATAACGTTAAATAAATAAAATAATACATAGACTTCTTAACAAAATTGTCCTACATACAATTATAATCAATAAACTAAATGCAAAAATCCATATTTCATATTTACAAACTTGAAGTTTCTTTCTCTAAATGTTGAGCCAACTGACGTTATTTTATATTTTTGAAACCTTCGTTTATAGACCAATTATAAAATACTATTTATGAATAAAATAAATTTTAAACAAAAATTTACAAAAAATAATTGTTGCATTAGTATTTTATAGTTTAATTCATCATATATTACTACGTGTTCTCTTTTAGATAAATGTAATTTAAATTTTGTGCTCCTGATACTCAAACAGTGTTATTTTGATTTATTTTCAATGTAGTCCAATTGTTTAGAATCATGTATATATGTGTTCCAATTGCATTTATATAAATAAATTACTCTTAAGTACAATTATAAATTTCTTATTGATTTACTTCATTGATTGATTAACCCATTATTAAATTTTGATACATTGTATCAGCTATATTCATATATCAATGAAGCAAGGAAAATTGTTTTTATTAATAAGTTTATTTATAAGTTTTTGATTTATAAGAAAAGATAAGTGATCTTCAGATTTTCTTACCGTTTTTAAGCGTCATTTTACATTAGTCGTTCCTTCAAAATTCATCATCATAGCGTCATTATTCCGCCAAAAAATCAATGAATAATAATTTTGTATAATACTAGTTAGTTTCTCGTCCACTCGTCGAAATCTATTGTTCAATTGTAAAATAGTTATCTGTTCATACATTCTTTCTAGCAATTCAATCTTGAATTATGATATAAAATATAATGTGAAATATGATGTAAAAGATCCGTCATATGAACTTCATTTTCAGGCATTTCTTTTTTTTTCAATTCTTTTGCACTATTCGATAAAACAAAGTAGGGATTGGGAAGGCACTTGTAGATAACCAATCTCGCAATCGTGTCATCCGCTATCAGAAGAAAACTTTTATACTACGAAGACTATTATAACGAAGACCATTCTGTATAAACAAAATTCAATTAATTCAGCAAATTAATAAATATTCGAGGTTAAAATTTTATATTTGAGTTCTTCTTCCTTTTTTCATTCTCTTAAAATTTCATGTCATCAGGAAATGGTGCTTTTCAATCGGAATAATATTTTTTTTAAAGCAACAATTATTTGATAATTATTATTTGACTAAATAATATAAATTCTTTGGAAGAAATTTAGGTTACGAAGTAAAAAATACAGTGATTTGTAATTCAAATTTGTAATTTGATTAGCTAGTTTTAATATAAAATGTTTATTATTTCATTCATGTACGTCATTTAACAATTTAGTTGCGATTAGTCGGTTTACATTTTTTGTTCAAATATTTCAATATGGTTTTTCAGTTTAATAATAAACAGAAAAATATATTTTTGCCCTCCCACATTCCTAAATTTGTTTTTATTTAAAAAGGATTCTTTCAGATCGTGTCCTTTTCTTGTGAATATACATTTACATGTAAAATATTATATAAAAAGGAAGTAGCTTATAACTTGTTATTTTAAATTTGCATGTAAACTGTTACAATGGAAAGTAACAGGGACAATGCATCATTTTTTAAAACTGAAATAATATATTAATTTTTCGATATTCGAAAAGACATTATCAAACATCTTTCTTACCAAGGCATCTTTTTTTATTCAATACAATTAAAAAGTTATAGCGATGAACAATTTTTTCAAGAAGAACTTTAGAAAACTATTTTCCATTCATTTGCAAGTATTAATTAATTTCTTTTTTCATTTTAGTATATTTTTCTATATTACTAACAATATTTTTCACGTTATTGATGTACAAGTTTCTTTTTTCAAAAATACAAAGTGTGGTAGGAAGAGGAAATAAACAAATTTTTCATTCATACTTAAGAATGAATGAAAGATATCTTTCCACTGTCATTCTTAAGAAAAGTATTTATTACTATAAAGTCTTAATTATGTAGAATACAAAAGAAAGTTTTAAATAAAAGTTGGTACAATTAACAACAATTATCGAAATAGTGAAAAATTCTGTATTTCTACATTTAAAAAAGTTGAAAGTTGCCAACTTAAAAAATCTTTTAATCCTAAAACTCATCACCATAATTAATTATAGTATAAAATACGCATAATATATTGAAATTTTTTAAGCTGATATTTGCAATTTCAGAAAAAAACAACTTTACAATGTATTGTGACATCCTATATATGCAAATTTAAAGAATAAGTTCTGAACTAGGAAACCAAATACTTTATTTTAATTAAAATTTGTTCATATGTTTAAAATATTCCAAATACTTTTGATATTTCATATTAAAAAATTAAGTTTTTTTCTCAATTATATTTAAAAAACGGATTAAGATTATAAATAAATGGAAATCCGTGCGAAATTGCTACTCTTAAATTTCTAGCCTTTTTGCGTCTGTGGACAAATTTCAGTATATAATAAAAATAGTTTTAATTACAACTTTGCTATTTTTATGAGTGTAATTTTCATCAAATGTTTTTTTTAAGATTAATTAAAATATATGAAAATTAAAAAGTTTCATTGCAGAAATATTGGATTGTAAATATTAGTTTTTACTTTAATTATAAGAGACAAGGACTTTTAATTCTTTGATATTCTAACTACTATTTATTTGTGTCATAGAGATTCTAATTCTACATTATTTATAAAATAAAGCAATATCATTTGCTAATAGAAAAATATTTTATTTTTTATTTATTTTTATTCTCTGGTCGATGTCATGTGTAGTATAAAATTAATTTGAGATCAGACAGTTTTTGAAAGAGAAATTCAGTATCATGGTCTCATTAATTTGATGCCACCCATGAGATGTGTATAATTAATATATATAGTTTTACAGTCCATAGATTTATATATTTATTTTATATTTATATTATTTATACTTTCGCATACTGTTAGGTTTTGTAATAATTAAAATAATGATATCTATATAGTTTAAAATATAGATATCCGGTAAATTATAAAAAAATTTAATGTTAAATTTTTGAGATATCCTTTCCAACAGAATACACAAACTCAAAAATTAATTATAAGTCAAATATAAAAAAATAAAAAAGATTACAATTAGAAACATAATACGGAACATAATATAACGTAAGGTAACAACAGTTCGCATATTTTTATAAGAAAAGCAATATAAACAAGTCATAGCTAGAGATAAAAATTCAACCCTGAGCAAAAATGTATAGTGATTTAACTCATTACATCATCTGATTTGCTATTCATTAGATAAAGCTATCTCAAAATTTTAATGTTAAATATGTCGTAAATTATTAATTGTCTATGTGCAAAATCATACAGTTCTTCTTATTAGAAAATAAATAATTTGTTTAAAAAAGTATTAATTATATAATAAACATTTGCTTAATTTTTAAAAAAATTTTATATAATTGAATATATTTTTTGAAAATGTTTTAAAATTATTGATATATTCATTTAATAAATAAAAATTAAATAAATGTACGAAATGATTTTCTTATTCCATTATTGGGGATACATTTTCAAAATAGCAACACAGATTTCTACTGCATCTGTTTCAAATGGATGAATTAACATAGCGGTTCTCACATGTTCCTCAGGAAAAACATTTGACAAATGATAATGTATTTTTGCTCTGATATCAAGAAAATCCCTTAACATGTCTGGCGGCATAGCTGAATATAAGGGAGATATATGAACATTTAATTGTGAATCTGAAGCACCCAATCGTTGATTCGATCCTGATGGTAGAGTCATGTTTGAATTATTTGACAACCATGCTTGGTAAGAATCTGGCGCCGAAGCAATACGTGTTACATGTTGATGATGCTGTCCTCCTTCAGTATGGTCCCAACTAAAAAATTGAAACGCATGTAAGAACATTTTTCTTATTTTCAATTTCTGTTTAATTAAATCTTAAAATTAATCGTAATATTATAATTATAAAAAACTTACTTCATGCCAACTTTATAGGCTGATTCGTTGCTAGAATGTCTAGTTAAAGATCTGTGCTGTGCTGTAGAAGATGTTATTACAGTTTGTTGTGATAACGAATTTATTTGAGATGTTTGTTGATACTGTCTCAGCTGGTGGAGTCGGGGATCGTATACTGGATTTAAAGTCAACTGTCTCTGCAACTTCTTATGTATATTTGGTGGTTCCGCTTCTGGATTATTCATTCTTCCTGCTGACCGGCAGGGAGAACAATAACCTAAAATTGAATGAAAATGAGTTCGTTTTAATAGAAGCAAATAAATATAAGATACAAATAAATAAAACAGGAAGGCTTTCAGTATGGTGACTATAGGAGGAGCGACTTATATAGCTGTTTAAGGAAAGGAGAGGAGTACAAAAATCTGAAAAAATTTTTTAAGGAAATGAACGGTTTTGCAATAAATAAAGTTTTTATTTCATATTACTTTAGCATTATGGGATTGTTCGCATGAATTTTTCACTTAATCTTTTGATTGCCTATAGACACTGGGTGAAAAATTTTTTTCATTTAAGCTAAGCACTATTCATTTTATAAACAAAAGCTTAGAGATTACTTCGTCTGTCTGTCGTTTATCTGTAGACAGCATACGTCTTCGGTATTTTTTATTCAAATAGTTCAGCTTTCATGGATAAACATAAATATGAACTATGAATTTGAGCACTCTGCTTTTGAAAGCTTTGAAAGCTTTGAAAAAATTAAGAAATTGTTGGAAAATTTGGATATAGAAGTTTGAAATATAATTCATAAAAGATTTAGATTGATGCGCTTTGTTTCTGAGCGTTCCGCAGTTCCACAAAAAGTTAAGCCATTTAAGCTTATCTATATTGGGTCAAGTGTGGCCATGTCTACAGTCATGCAATTTATAAAATAAAAATTTCATTTATTCCTAAGCCGTTCATTTATTTCCTAAAAACTCACTAATGTAAGTCTGAAATTTTGCCAAAAGGAAATAATCTATTATATATAATTTTAGAAGACTATACTTTGTCAAAAATATTAATCGTCGTACACGAATTGTTACCTTGAGAACTTGTGGTAGATGGAACTTGTGACCCATGTATCGTAGAATTTATTGGTTGTTCAAGCATAACATTTTCTGCTGATCTACTTTTTGTAACTGAAGGTAACGACTGAATAGTAGTAGTTACCATTGATTTGGTTTTGCAAAGTGGTTGATGCTGATATGTATTGGAAGATATATTGTTCGATGCAAATACACTTGGATTTGAACCTTTTACTTGAAGCTGCTTTTGCACATGTTCTACTAGTTTCTCTGTAACTGATTTCTGAGGATGCAGACCTCTTTCTGGATGTCGAAATTTACATTTATTCCCATAAGTACATTTCTGCAATGGAAGAGATTATTTTTTATTTGTATTTTATTATTTTACTTTCTTAATGATTGTTGTTTCTAATAAATCCTCTAAAGAGAATTAATTATTCTTTAAATAATTTGCAACGTACCTTCGCGTATGGGCAAGGTGGTGCAGGATCGGTTTTTTGGGGAAAAGTTTTTAAAAAATTGTCTAGTGTGGGACCACTTCTACCTAGTGGATCATCTGGTGGCATGAAACGATCATTTACAAAGGTATACATCAAAATTCTTTCTTCTATAACTTTTCGAAACTCTGGATTTTCCTGTGCCAAATCTCTGTAATTATCATTGCTGACAACAATACCATCAATTTCTGCTGCTAGTTTCAAGATATAACGATCATCGTAACAAATCATTCTTTTGCCACCAACTAATCTAAAATAGAAAATTAAGATTGAAAGTAATAACTATTTAATTTTTTTTCTTATAAATTATCGTTACCATTGCTTTAACATTAAGTATTAATTATTAATATTTTCGTAACATGTTTAGACAATGAATATGAAATAGACTTTTGAATATGTTTCACAGTAATTATTTAGTTTTAAATATATTTTCTCTAAACATGTTAAAAAATAGTAAGAACCCAAAGTATAATATTTGCAAGTTGCAAAAAATTTCCTTCTACAAATCAAATTTTGTTAAAAAATTTTATGAGAAATTGTTACGCCAAATTGAATTATGGTTATCAATTTATAATTTATTGATATACAAACCTAGATGGAGTGAAAACTAACAAACGGTCCCTTTCTAATTCTCCTAAAATTTCTTGATCGGCGATAGGATTATCAATCCTGGAGGTTTCCTTCCTCCACTTTGGTACAAACACGGTGATTTCTTTGTGCCCTCGAGCCTTAAACCAGTCCACACAAATTTTAATTCCTCTACAAGAAAATATTTCATTGTTTCCGTGACTCATCGCCACATTGCTTCCATCAATTACAACAGATCTAAGACTACTGGAACATCCACTGTTTTCGCTAGACATGAAGTCAGCGTCTGTGACGTTATCACCCTCTTCTGGCGTGTCGATTGACTTTTGAGAGCAACTGGCACCGAGTTTTATCAACTCGGCCAAAAGTTCGTTTTGTTCTGGATCCGGACCTAACTTCTCTAACGCTGTTTGAAGCAAACGTTCCGTGTATCCAAGTTTAAGGGCGAATTCTACTCGAGCAGTGTACCCTGAAAAAGAAACAAATATTTAATTATTTTAATAATACACGATGATCTCTTTTGTTTAATTGAAATTGGAAAAAAATGTTGAAGAAAAAAGACGAAAATTTCAAAATAAATTACATATCCATTGACGATCAAATTTTTTTTTTTTGTACAGTACTAAATAATACTTTACAATACGATAACTAGCAAAACCTCTTTTTTTATAGGGGATTCTGATATCAAATGTTTAAGTTTGTAAATTTTTAACTTCAATATATATAATATTTTATATTATTAATTAGTCGAGGCAAAGTATATACTGATCGAGTTTTAAAATTTCAATATTTAAAATTAAACAATTTAGAATTATGAATTTCAAAGATTTAAATAATCACATCTATTTTTATTATATTGAATGTATACATATATTTTCAATATTAAGTTGATGCGCGAATCTTATTGTGAGACAAAGTCAGGAAATACCAGAAAGTAGAAAGTATGTGAAACCCAATGGAAAATCAGGAAGTTACTAATTGTAAGAAACAAGCAGGTACAAAAGATGTTGTAAAAGCATAACTATAATTATCAAATTGTTAGTACTGCTATAATGAATTCTGCCTATAATTGTGTTTATTTATTTAATGTAAAAAAAGTGTTTAATGTAAAAAAAGAATTTTGCACCATTAAATCCTTTAAAGCTAGAGCTATTAAACCAACTAACAGAGTATGTAAAGCGTAGATAAATAAAGAGATAGAGAAAAAGAGAGATGTTGATATTTTGTTAGAATTCATTACACTCCATCAAGTGCTAAGATTAAGTAGTAAATATCTATTATCTTAAAAGTAGTAAATCTGTTACACTCTACAAAAACTATATTACATTTGGATACGTATTTAGTGTTTGAGAAGTTTAAGCCAAACTAAGGAAAAATAGAAATAAGTGCTATATAAAATGTGTTGATAGAATACCAAGAAATTTTGTATTTTCAAGAGTAAAAGTATTGGGAGAATAAAACTGCAAAGATTGCAACATTAAATTTTTGAGAAATAGTACAAGCAAAACTTGGAAAAGATGTATACTGCAACAATTCACTCTTATAATTTCGTGTGATATTTATACAAAATACTGAAGTAATGACAAAAAATAGATGAATTCCTTTTTCAAATAATCATGCAATTATTTGTTTATACATAAGTATTATATAAATTCAATGATAATACTACTCGTAATATATATGGTTTTAGAATAGAAGACACATAAATACTGAAATACGATACAGAGATGATAAAAAGTAAGCATACATTCAGGGCTATCTATAAAGACGTAAGAAATTAGAGATTGAAATCTTAGTGACAATTCGTGACTCTCTGCACATAATTGGATACTACTCTTTATTAGAAAAATGTTTATATTAATAACAACTATGATGAAAGAAAATTAAAATATTGCCAAGTACTTGCCTACGTGGAGATTACATTATTACAAACTACTATCCCCTATTGATAAAACCATGAAAATAAAAATAAATACCATATATTTATTAATAATAGTAAGAAATATAATAAAATATTTATAGTAATAAACCAGTGATACAATGATTACTATCAAGTAAAATTAATTGAATTTAGTACATTTTAAATACATCAAACTTAAAGGCTTGAATAAGCTTGAAAATAAATCTTACGTGTATAAAAGTATGTCAAATAAATAATGTAATAAGTAACGAGATAGAGTTGGAAGATATTAAGTTCAAAGGAGATCTTTGAAACAGAATATGAGAAAAAGTATTAGTGCATTTGACAAAGAGGATTAGATAAAATAAAAAGATTGATAGTTAGCAGGAGAACGAATTTAATTTCTACGAGATTAGAAAATTTGTGCTTTAAAAATGGGTCTAAAATAAAAGAAGCAGGTGCACAAGGACAAACTCACCGAGGAGAGTAGTAAGAAACCGGATCTCGACATCATAGACTCAAATATCTATGATGGCCTGTCACATAAAGAAGCTTAGGATCTTCGGTTGGAACACACGAAGCATCAATCAGTGCCAGGAGGGGAGGAATTCCTAAAATGTTAGAGAAATTTGTGATAGGTATGTGCACGATGTCATGATAAAAAGTTTAAATATGACTTCAAAGTGCATGATTTTAATGTACTGTATATTTAAGAGAGGTTTGAGGAGAAGCAATGACGTTACACTCATCCAAGGGAGAGATTTTTAATTTATGTTTCCGATAGATTAGCACACGTGTGACACAAACCTATAGTCGATCTCCACGTAGGTAAGTACAAAGCTTTTAAGAATATATAAACTTACTTTACAGCAGAATATCGATGTAATATTAAAACTGACGATAATACATTATCTTAGCAAACTGTTAAAGATTTATATTTATAATAAGAACGTAGTTAATTTTATTAAATCGCTGCTGTTAACAATTATCATTAGGTTAATGCTACTGAATTAAGTATGAATTCTTAATACGTTTAGAGTTAGTCAAAGATAAATGATTTACTTTTTACAAAAAATTATGTACCTGGACTTTGAACCGGCGGGCTTTCTTGTACCGTGACATATTCTGCAAATTCAGCAGCCAACGTGTCTGAAGCAGTCCGGGACACATTTGAGTGACTTGCAGTAGAAACCTATATACGATTTGAAATTGCGCTATTAATCGACGATAACATTGTTTAGCACATACTTTGCGTTGCAATAGCTAACTACTAATATAAGCAGACTGCAGATTTTTATGCAAAATATAGAATATATTTAATATAGTATATTTAATGTAATATAATATATAATATAATATATTTAATATATTTAGGATATATAAAATATAGATATATTCTATATATATATATACATAGATATAGATAAATATATAGAATATATTTTATGCACATAAGGAAAATATATAAAACATTCAAAATATAACAACTGTTGCAGTATTCAATAGCTGAATCAAATCTTTAGTTAAATCTTATTTTTTCAATTGCCTTCTCAAAAATATAAATTCTATCTTAACATAAAAATCTATTAAAAAGTGCAATTTCGATCTTGTATAGACTTTTTTTACAACTTCTTTTAAATATGTTTGAACAAAATATATAAATTTTTGTGGAGTGTGGATTAAGTCTGGAGAAAAATTTAACTACAGCAGATAATGTAGAAACCATAAAAGAAAGTTGCAACACAAATTTTGTTTTTGATCGAGAAACTGAAATAACTTTGTGAGGCACGATCTCTCAATATTTTTTTCAACGTTTCATTCGTCAAAATAAGAATGCATCTATAAGCAATGATTTTTTAATAACTTTTTACTTTAGATTATATATTATTTAGGTTATATAAAATAAAATAAATGCGTCAGAGAAAGCAAAAATTTTGAACATTAGTTTATTTCGATTTCATTTATTTGAAATAAACTAGAGTAGTATTGCTGGTCTTAATAACTCATTTAGTAAACGTGAAACAATTGTGAAAAATAGCGTGCATTCATTGTGAAAACATTTTATAAATGGTGGTTCTGTTGTACAGCGTTTATTTTGAGCTTATTTTAACATTCTACGTTAGGGTAGTGTACCACGAGCCCATGCAATCAACAAATGGGTTAAGAATTTTCAAGAAACCGGTTTAATTTTAAAATGAACGTTTCCGGATGTTCGAAGAAGTGCAAGAACTTTAGAAGACATTGAACTATGTAGTCAAGGCTGCTATTGAACATAACCTAACACGTTCCGCTCGTACTTAGCTGCATATTTCTGATAGGTCAATTCGTAGAATATTATGATTGTTACATTTAAATTTTTATAAATTTAAAGCAGAAATTAATTCAAAAATTGCAAAGTAACGACTTAGTTCGAATTTTTGTGAACAAATGCCTGCACTTTTTTAGTGAGAATGCTACACAATTTGTCCATGCCATTTCATCTGAGAGAATGTGTCAAGTATAAAATACCAAAGAAATCTTTTGTTCACAAGATTTCACTTGTGACTTCTTTTTGTGGGAATATTTAAAAAGTAAAGCTTTTGAAAAAGTTACATCTCAAATACGGTAAAGTACGAGAAAATAATCTTTCGTGAGAAAATGCAAGTCGTTCTTTCGCATGCTGCATTACGTTCATGTGTAAAAATTTAAGTCAATAACAATAATAAATTTACAGATTAAGTGTAACAATATAGTACAACAATATAAATTTAAATATTTATAAATACTTGAACAAATACCTGCAATTCCACTTGTGAATGAATATTTGTAGATCCGACTGAATCTTCAGCTTCGTAATCGCTATCGTAAGAAGAGTCTTCCGCGTCAGCAATATTTTCAGTTTCTAGGACGGTGCAATCTACGTATTTCTGAAAGCAAAATGGAACAATGTTTTTCAAATGTTTGATACATAATAATTATATTTTATAATTATACATAATAATTATAAAATTACTGTTTGCATACATTCTTCTTATTATTAGCTACAATCTTTTAATTTACTGTTCAACGCAAGTGTTATTTATTTGAATTAGATACTAAAGAAAGAAAGTCGTATTATCTTTTTATTATTATACTAAATTTGTTTATTATTCAAGTATTTAAATACTTTTTGCTTGTCAAAGAAAACGGTAAAATAAAATTCATTGATCCTTTTATTCAAGTAATGGTGAGTTTATTACATAAAATTATTATTCGTACAATATTTAAACTTAATGCTTTTTGCTCTTATATAAACTATGTCCGGTTTAAATGGATAATCGGATCAAATATGTATCTAGGAAAATACAAAATATTGTACAGCATCAAGGACTATTTGCAATGCTTTCATCTATTTAACTCTGCAATGATTTTGAGACGTCCTGTGATCATACTGAGATTTTTAAACGAATACATTCATTTTATCATATACTTTTATTATACTTATATTCTTCCGGCTGACATTTTTCAGTACATTCACAAATAGGTAAAAGTATTGCACGTATCCCCTTTGATACCAATAAACATTTTTTTGTATCATTTGTATTTGGCGAAATTTTTGGACGTTTCCAGTTAAAATGAACATAAGGAATATATATACAACATATGAGTGCACAAAAAAAGAATGACACGTGGGTGTCATACGTATGAATTTTGCATAGATCAGGAAAAATTAATGCAGAAAAAAAAGAAGAATGAGTTTGATGGAAATGGAAACAATTGGTAAAAAAAAAAAAAA